TTGCCATTATTTGAGTACTATGTTTCTCATGTGGTTTTTGTTTTTTTTTTTCATGTAGAAACTTCAAGATCCATTTTCTAGCAAGTAAATAAGTATTTCTGAACATCTTAGACCTGATGAAGCAATTGGGACTTTGTGAAACTCTTTGGCAACTTGGCTGTCCCTCATTAACCTAGTAAATCTGAATTGAATGATGGTTGTAGTATAACGGGGATTAACTATAGATGTCACTAGTGTGACACTGCCCTGACTGGGTATCTCCACCAAACAGCTTCCTCCACTCTGGATCCAGAATATAGCAAAGTTGCACCAAGCATCAGACAACCAATGTTGAGAGTAAACCGGGACTGACTTTATTTAAACTGCACAGCATTTAGCCCTGGTTCACACACTAATGCAGTGCGGGAAACACAGGATTTGCTATCGCATGGTGCCCATGCAATCTGGTACAGGTCTCAATATTAACGACCCCCGAAACAGATCGCAAAATGCAGTGCAATTACCAGACTTTGCATCGCATGTGATGTGCCTAGACAGGTATGGCATACATTACAAGTCCCAGTGGATATTGTTATGAATGGTGTAGCGCTACATACATATACCAGGTATAGCATGAACAAATATGGCTCTGTGCCAAACAGATATACATAACGTGCTAAAGTAGATAAATGATAGCGACAATTAGTTATTCCCTAAAAAGGGATAGAAGTGCGTAATATTTAAAGTGCAATATATCAATAAAAAACCGTGTACAAGGCACACAAATGCATGATATTGTCCACTAACTTAGTGTTAGGCACACCACAAACACTAATCAAAACATGCTCCTTTCGCCAGTGTAGGTGATGGGTGAGAATCCAAAAATGGCTAGCGTTCCTGCTCACCTTCCCCCTGCGGCCCCCAGGGTCCAAAATGCCTTGCGGATCACCCCAGATCCTGCTTGCTCTCTCCAGGCTAATGGTTACTTCACAACTCTCTCCAGGCTAGAGAATACACCAGAAGCTCCTACAATATCGCCTCCACCTTCCACTTATCCTCCACGAGCCAGTACCAGTATGCACATATACATTGATGAAGTCATGGAATGAGAACACAGAAAATCCTCCATAGTGTAAACCTGTATGACTTGTTTATTAAATATATAAAACCGCCAAGTGAACACTCATGTTTGGGCAGAAAATACAAAGCGTTTGGATGTCATCCCACATGGGTGTACTGATAATCCTCTGGTGCACTAAGATGGCGCCGGACCAGAAGTGCGTCACCATGTTGCTATGTCACATCTGTGTTATGCCATGCCCCTTGTAGCTTCATCAGGGATTTTTCTTATTGTGAATCCTGGTTATGGACAACAGATGTAACACTTACACTCTTATTTTTAGGTTAACAGTCCAGGTGATAACAGAATTATCGTTGGAAATTGGAGTGGAAATTATGATGGCGGAGAGGAACCTACAAAATGGAATGGAAGTGTTTCCATTCTCCGTAAATGGGATGAAAGTGGACCTGTCAGATATGGACAGTGCTGGGTGTATGGAGGGGTCCTTTGCACAGGTTTGTACACTTCTTCCTTTTTTTTTTTTTTTTTTTTTTTTTTCACAAGCCTCACATGCGAAAGCTGCACATCTGTTTATGGTGTGATGGGGATAAACCACTACATACTTACCTGTGGTCCCTGTTGGCAATCCTTGTATTTGAACAGAAACGCTGCTGTTTGGTCTTGTCATAACTCTTCAAACCCTCCATGATGTGTATTGTTGGCACACAGCTGCCCCTCTCACTTTGCCATGACCCAAAGTCTACCTAAAATTCAAAGTAAAAAGTAAACCTAGCTGGGTTCTAATTCCAGTTCAATCATACAAAATCCACATTTTAACATTTGACTTATCCACTTTGTACTCGAGATTTACAAATTTATCTTGATGGATCAACCTAAAGCCCTGGTTCACACCAGTGCAACTTTGAAATTGTGCTAATTCAGCATGATTTCTGAACTACTGATCAGTGCAATTTTGTTGCGGCTTGAGAGTTTATTATTTTCAATATGTTAGGATATTTTTAGAAACCATACAGACAGAAAATGCAACCCACCAACATGAGTTGTAGAACATCAAGCAATGTATTCAAGCACAATGTGTATAGCAACACAACAAAATCGACCAATGTGTAATGAGAAGGACCCACTGGTAGCTCGTTCAGATTTTGCAATTTTAGCAACAAATTGCCCCATAAACAGAATGGTACAAATAATATCACTGACATAATAGAAGTAAAAAGAATGGAAAGATAGAGGGCCAGCCAAGAATCTGTTAAATAACAAAATATATATCGAATCAATGGATCCCAAGTGCTCTCAAATTTAGAGGTATTGCAGTTTTGTTTTGACTAAGTCCAGCAATATTGCTGACTGTTTCCAGTGTTTGGCTATCGTAACTCTTGCTGCCAACAGGATATAAAGAATAAATTTAACCAATATTTTTCAGTGGGCAATAGTTGAAAATGGGGCCACTTCAAGGGGTCTACCATTTTTAACACCCATTACAGAGTAAAGGAAATAAACTGATCCAAAACCTAGTGACCACAGGGCATTTCCACCATATGTGGAGCATAGTACCCTCCTGTCCACAATGTCGTAAACAGGTGGGTACTCCTTCACCCCCCCCCCCCCCCCCCCCCCCCCCCCCCAAGATGTGTAGGGACTAAATGCCAACGGAGAAGCGTTTTTGTAGTTGGATTCAATGAGTGTAGTGTTTTATAGAGATTTTAGATAAAGCATTAGCCATATTCCGCCAAGCGTCTAACTCCAGAGAAAGTTATTTTTTTTTTTTTTTTTCCCATTGTACCATATAAGAGTTTATCATTTTGGATCAATAAGGAAAGCATATATATTGGATAGACAATCTTTCGCCACTCCAGAAGCCCTACAGGAGACTTCGAGAGCGGTGAGCATATGGGGTTCTGTCAGTAATTTTAAGCTTGCTAGTGATAAAACCTAATTTGATTATAGCAAAACTGTTCGCTAGAAGGCAGTTGGCATTTTGTCTGAAAAGTCCTTCCAGATCCCCAATGTGTAAAAATCCCTTATAAATATAAATTGTCTCATGCTCCAATTATTTGGTAAAGTAAACTTTAATATATAAAGTGCTGAGTGCTCAATTATATATGTGAAAGTATAAAGCAGATTAATAATTACTCATAAAACATGACAGATCAAACTCCTTATTTAGGCCTCTAGGGGCTAGACAACTCATTTCATATATCCATTTTGATTCCTTCTTACTAACTTCTGACTGTCTCCTCTCCAATGACTATTGTGTTTTTTTTTCTATGCCCCAGAATTCTAACTCTTTTTTAGCATCTTTATTATATTGCCAAAAATGTAGTGATGCATAGTGATTTTTATATCCTCTGTTTATATTGTATACATGCTCCTTGATACACTCTTTCAGGAGCCTTTTAGTACGTCCAATGTAAGTTAAATTACATGGGCATTTGAGTGCATATTACTCCCTTTCATTTCACATGAAATAAACTTTTTTTATTTTATATTCTTTATTATTCATATTATCAAACTTAAATCTAAATCTTATATCCTTTATTTATAAATCTTTGCATTAATATCCCACTTTGAGGTTATAAAGGAGAGACCAGGAACAAACTGTCCCCTAGGGATATTCAACTATGGTCTATAATGGCAGCTATTTAATGGTATAAGCATTTTTCAGTGTGTGGTGTTTTGTTTTGTTTGTGTGGTTGTTTGTTTGTTTGTTTTTATCACCATCCCATATAATTTAATAGATCATCAAATCTATTTTATATAAATAGATTTCTTTCCTGAAGTTACGGAAGATGTACTTATCTTCCCATTTAGCCATATAGATTGGCTATACTGGGGGCAAACTTCGCGCCCATAGCTACTCCTCTATTTGTAAATATGTTAATATGCCAAAAATAATTGATCTAAACAAAACTTCAAACACTTTAAAATGAATCTTTTGGTGTTTGGGATGTTCGAATATATTTAGGGCCCATTATGCTGCTTCTAAAGCGCCTTCATTATTTGTATATAACGAAGAGACATCTGCTGTGCTCAAATGGATATTATGGTTTACATGCAAATTTTGGGTCCGTTGTATAACATGTTTTGTGTCTCTAAGGAAGGCTGGTGTGTTTTCCACTATTGGTTGTAAATAACTATCAATATATTCCCCTAGTCTAGATGACAGTCTATACCGTTAATGGTGGGTCTACCCGGTGGGTTGCTACTATATTTGTGTATCTTTGAAACTGAGTAAATTGGTATTTTACATATTGAAGGTACTATATATTTCCTCTTATTTAAAATTCCTTTTTTGCTCCCATATTGTATCAGTTTGATTTATATCCTGTAAGTGGGGTGTTTTTTTTTTTGTTTTTTAATACTTGGGGCCTCCTAAATCTTTTAAAGCCCAATATATTTAACCATATTAGGGTTAAACACTTTCTTAAACTATGTCTCTTCCTGTTCTGGATTATTCCTAATTATAGTTTTGGTTATGGTTTTGTATAAATTTTGTTAGGCTTATAATAAGGTGAGCGCATATATAGCAAAGGTTTTCTGCACATTGTCACGGAGTGGACACTATTTTGGATTGACCAATATATATTGTTTGAACATTAAATATATTTTATGTATTTACTTTATCTATTTTCAGCAATTTATAACACTTTATCACATAATTGAGCACTCAGATATTATTATTCAGGATTTATATAGTGGCAACAGGTTGCTCAGTGCTTTACAATATAACGGGAGACAATACAGCAACAATACAGTTAAATCCAAGAGGGATAGGAAGGCCCTGCTCCTTGGAGCTTATGATCTAGATTAGAGATGAGCGAATTATTCAAAAATTCGATTCGACTGATTTGGCGAATTCGTGAAAAAATTTCGATTCGAGTCGAATATATTCGCTGCGAATTTAACTTATAAAAGGGTGTTTCTAGGCTTCAGAGAGCCTTTATATTAGTGCAGAACACTGTACCTTTAATTTAAATGCCCTTGGAGTCTGCTGGGGAAGAGAAATAATACTGTCAGTCAGTATGACATGCAGATGAGTGCCGTCGATCTTAGAATCACCGCACACTTCACTCATTTGGGCAGTCACGGGGCCAAAACCAGAGTGTGGAGCCACAGTGTGGCGGTGGAGGCAGCAGCAATGGGAGGCCATACAGCACCCTATGACAAAAATGGAAACCACCAGCAGTGTGAGGAGACCTGAAAGTGGCACATGGCAGAGTGTGGCGATGGAGACAGCAGCAATGGGAGGCCGTACAGGGACCCATGACACACTCTGGACCTGGCAGCAGCATGAGGAGGCGGTACAGGGGCCCATGACAGATTACGGGCCTGGCAGCAGCATGAGGAGTTGGTACGGGGGCCCATGGCAGATTACGGGCCTGGCAGCAGCAATGGGAGGCCCGTAATCTGCCAGCACCCTATGACAAAAAATGGAACACACCAGCAGTGTGAGGAGATCTGAAAGTGGCACATGGCAGAGTGTGGCGATGGAGACAGCAGCAATGGGAGGCCGTAAAGGGACCCATGAGAGACTCTGGACCTGGCAGCAGCATGAGGAGGCGGTATAGGGGCCCATGGCAGATTAGGGGCCTGGCAGCAGCTATGGGAGGCCCGTAATCTGCCAGCACCCTATGACAAAAAATGGAACACACCAGCAGTGTGAGGAGACCTGAAAGTGGCACATGGCAGAGTGTGGCGATGGAGACAGCAGCAATGGGAGGCCGTAAAGGGACCCATGAGAGACTCTGGACCTGGCAGCAGCATGAGGAGGCGGTATAGGGGCCCATGGCAGATTAGGGGCCTGGCAGCAGCTATGGGAGGCCCGTAATCTGCCAGCACCCTATGACAAAAAATGGAACACACCAGCAGTGTGAGGAGACCTGAAAGTGGCACATGTTTGGGGCATGATTCATGGCGGATTTAGTCAGTTGTGTCAGGAACTGGTGGTTTGAAATCCAGACTAATCCACGCCTGATTCATTTTCACAAACGTGAGTCTCTCCACACTTTGGGTGGACAGTCGTGTCCTCCGGAGTTACAATACCTCCTGCCGCACTAAACACGCGCTCCGATGCCACGCTACTGGCCGGGCATGACAGCCTTTCAAGGGCAAATTCAGCTAGTTGGGGCCAAAGGTCAAGTTTCGTTGCCCAGTAGTCAAGGGGATTGTCTACCTCGGTTGGCAGGGTGCTGTCCAAGTAGGCCCAAGCCTGTTGTGTTTGAGGTCCTGCTCCAGGTCCACCTGATGCTGCTGCTGCTGCTGTGGCTGGTTAGTAGTTTCCTCACTGTGCTGGTGAAGAAAGCTACTCATCATCGACTGCAGACTGAGGCAGCCGCTGCTGGTGGAGCTGCCACTGCTCCTACCACCCCACCCCTCCCCTGCTGCCATGGCAGCGGAACGCGAGCGCACAGGGCCCACAGTGTCTGAGGATGGACGTTGGCGCAGAAAGGCAGAGACCAACTGACTACATAGGTGGTTTTTATAGTACGTTATTTTGGCCTCCCTCTCAGCAGGTGTGAAAAAGGCCACCATTTTTGAACGGTAGCGAGGGTCCAACAAGGTGGAAAGCCAAAAGTCATCCCTCTGTCTGATGGTTATTATTCGGCTGTCGCTACGCAAGCAACCGAGCATGCTATGGGCCATTTGTGCCAAGGAATGCGAGGGACTCCCTGCCTCCATCTCCACAGCATACTGCCACGGTGCGTCTGGGTCCTCTGTCTCCTCCTCCTCTACCAGATGCTCCTGCTACTCCACTCCTGTCCGCTGAGTGGAAAAACCACCCATTTCACTCAATAATTCCTGAGCACAAATGTCGTCCTCCTACCTCCTCTTCTTCCTGTCCTGCCCCCACAGGGGTCATGTGGCGTTGAGATCTGTGCGCCACGTCTACCGCACCCTGACCAGCCATTGTTAACAGCATTTGTTCCAGGACGTGCAACAGAGGAATGACGTCGTTCATCCCATAGTCCTGCCGACTCACGAATAGCGTGGCCTCCTCAAAGGGCCTGAGCAAGCGGCAGGTGTCGCGCATGAGCTGCCAATGGCTGACATCGAAGTTACACAGGGGAGTACCTTTATCCGCTTGTAACATCAGGAAATCGGTGATTGGCCTTTCGCTGTTCGTAAAGGCGGTCTAACATGTGTAGGGTTGAATTCCACCTTGTTGCAACGTCGCAGATCAGGCGATGCTGTGGAATTCCGTTCTGCCGCTGCAGCTCAAGGAGGGTGTGCTTTGCGGTGTAGGAATGGCTGAAATGCATGCAAAGTTTACGTGACATTTTAAGGATGTCTTGCAGTGGGATGGTGGATTTTAGGAACCGCTTGACAACCAGATTGAACACGTGAGCCATGCATGGCGCATGGCACAACCTTCCTTGACGCAGAGCAGGCACCATGTTCTTTCCGTTGTCGGTCAACATGGTTCCGATTTTCAGTTTGCGCGGAGACAGCCATCTGTCGATTTCTCTGTTCATTACACTCAGAAGTTCCTCCCCTGTGTGACTACGTTCGCCAAGGCATACCAGGTGCAGCACAGCGTGACACCGTTGCGCCCTGCACATGTGATATGCGGGTCGGGTAATGGGACTTGGCACGGGGGTGGCGGCTGAGGACACGGCGGAAGAAAGAGGTGGTAGAGGCGGACATCTTTGCCGGACCAAGGACGTGCAAACGTGGAGGCAAAAGCGGCGTGACCTGTCCAAGTTGCTGGTGCGGCTGTGACGGCACCACGTTCACCCAGTGGGCCGTAAATGACATGTACTGTCCCTGACCGTAGTTACAGCTCCACACGTCGGCGCTGCCGTGCACTTTGGCAGAGACCGACATGCTCAAAGACTGGCCCACCATCTCTTCTACATGTGAATGCAGGGCTGGCACTGCCTTTTTGGCAAAGAAATGCCGGCTTGGCACTCTCCACCGCGGCGCGGCACAAGCCATCATTTCTCGGAAAGGTGCTGAGTCCACCACTTGGAAAGGGAGGGACTGCAGCACCAGCAACTTGGACAGGAGGACGTTCAGCTTTTGCACCGTCTGGTTCCTGACCGCCCTCTGTTTGCTTTTCCTCACTGTACAGTGGGGCTGAGCCCCCACAGCATGCGATACTTCGCTTGGTGAGGGAACACCAAAGGACAGGGGCAGGTAGAGGACACGTGATTTCAGTGGGCTTGCTCCCGGGCCATGCCAACTAACGGTTGTGTCTGACGTACCCACCGACCGTTGGCTGTGTAGGTGTCAGAGGTGACCTGGGAAGAGGAAGACGACCGAGCCAACCAATCGATGACGGCAGGGTGGTCGGTGGAGACACAACCGCTGGATGACACCGGGAGCACTGGCCTCTGGCTGCGAATAGTGCTGCCTCGACCCCTTCCTCTGCTGCCACGTCTGCTCGCTCCTAAAACATTGCCTCCTCTGCCACTCCTATGCATGTTCTCTGACATACTCTTTAATTAAACGATTCTGTGTCCCTGAGTAACAATTCTGTGTCTGTCCCTGAGTAACAATTCTGTGTCTGTCCCTGAGTAACAATTCTGTGTCTGTCCCTGAGTAACGTTTCTGTGGCCCTCAGTAACTATTCTGTGTCCCTCAGTAACAATTCTGTGTCTGTCCCTGAGTAACAGTTCTGTGGCCCTCAGTAACGTTTCTGTGGCCCTAACTCTCTCCCTGAATACAGCCAGGTCTGCCTCTGTTGAATGACTGGAGGCAAATGGAGAATTCTAAAATGGCCGCCATTTATAGCTCGACCATTACACTGTGCTGGCTGGCTGCTTATTGGCTAATGCGATCACATGTCATGAATGAATGCATTATGGGTCAGCGCGCCTTGTCTGCGCGCCTTCCCAGACATCCCCGCTCCGTCGCCGCACATGTCGCCGCCATTTTAGGAAAAATTTTTCTAATATTCAAAGCGAATTCCACTTCGCCTACTTCGATTCGCTCATCTCTAATCTAGATATTAAAGTTTACTTTAGCAAATAATTTGGAGCACGACACATTTTCATTTATATTTATTAGTTTATTCACTCATTATATATGAGTGTAGTAGTGTCAGTGAACTATAAATTAATCACAGTATTGGGTATAGTAGCTGGCAAGCACTGAATTATTTATTTGTATGTAAAAATATCTTATTGAAACACAGATGGTGTGAATTTAGGGTTACAAAAGACTGGGGCCAGAGGGGTATGTAGGGAAAATAAAGGCTTACGGGCCCCCCACCTATCAATGTTTGCTAATGACCTGATAATGTAGGGCAGATGGGAGGATGTAACCGACTGAGAAGCCACATAGGGGAGCCAATAGCATACGGATGACAAGATGGGGCCTCAATGCCAACCCATTGAGGTACATAGCCCCTAGCTGTAGTGTAGGAGAGCTGCATTATCTGAGCCACATGAAAATAAGTCATGCGATTAGGAAGTTCCAAACCACCATGCTTTTTCTTAGAATATAAAGTTGAATAATTGACCAAAAAATGTTTGCCTTCCCATATAAATCTAGAGAGATCTGATTTGTAAGCGTAAGATTTCCCCTCCTGGGGACTGCAATCGGTAACGTCTGAAAATATAGCAGTCTTGGCAGAAATGTCATTTTAATGAGTTGATTCTACCAAACTAGGATAAAGGGAGGTCTGCCCAATTATGTAAATCAGTCTTGAGTCTTTTTTCAAAAGAGGGGGGCTAATTAGCACGGAGCTTGTGAGATGGATCCCCAAATAGGGGAGGGAGTGTGGGGTCCCACTGACTTCAAAGTTGTCCTGAAGATATTGAACCTCCGATAGGGTTAAAGAAATTTTTAAAGCCGTAGTTTCTGAGGAATTCGGAGTGAGACCTGAGTCCATAGAGACTCGGTGAAGTAAATTGGGTAAGGACACTTGAGGAGCAGACATATGCATAAGGACATAATCGGCAAATAAGGCACATTTTATGGTCTCGTTGGCCACCAGAGATAGCGGGGTCAGAACTAATGGCTATAGCAAGCAGTTCCACTGCTAATGCAAAAAGTAAAGGGGCAACCCTGTCTAGTGCCTCTCCCAATAGGCAGAGGAGAGGAGGATATATATATATATATATATATATATATATATATATATATATAAATATATATTTATTATTATTATTATTATTTATTATTATTATTATTATTATTATTATATTATTATTAATTATTATTATTATTATTATTATTATTATTATTATTATTATTATTATTATTATTATTATTATTATTATTATTATTATTATTATTATTATTATTATTATTTATTATTATTATTATTATTATTATTATTATTATTATTATTATTATTATTATTATTATTATTATTATTATTATTATTATTATTATTATTATTATTATTATTATTATTATTATTATTATTATTATTATTATTATTATTATTATTTATTATTATTATTATTATTATTATATTATTTATTATTATTATTATTATTATTATTATTATTATTATTATATTATTATTATTATTATTATTATTATTATTATTATTATTATTATTATTATTAATTATTATTATTATTATTATTATTATTATTATTATTATTATTATTATTATTATTA